TATAACAGTATTTGTAATTATTATTTTTTGAATAATTCTTTTAACCCCCTACTTTTTAGATTTAGCAAAAACACCATAGCAACCAAAAAACATTTTAAACTTAACAAAAACACCCCTACCGACGCCAAGCCACTACCGACAGCTAGCCATCACTGTTGGCGGCCGCTAGCAGTGCCACAAATTTGGTTGTGAAACAGCCATAGATCTGCCCGTGAAATAGCCAAATCTGACTTTTTTCGACCTTGGATCTGTGATCCATGGTCGGAAAAAGCCTCATTGACGCACAACCAGACATATACGGCTAATCGTACGCCATTATGATGACTTTTGACAGCCTCCGGCGACGGTTGACGATGGCTGGAGGTGGTGGCTAGTTTTGGGTATAATGACATTTCTGTAAATAATGACAATAACAAGGGTAATGTCGTCTTAAAAATTTAAAAAGTAAGGACAAAAGTGTCTACATGAGTGAATTGGGTGTATTGTAAATGTTAACAAATATAAGGTTAATTTGGACCAAATGCTCAACTGTTTAAGGGCAACATGAGAAACAAAATTGTATTACCAAGGTTAAGTTTTAATAACACCACCCCTCCAGGTATTAAGATTCCTGGCAATATGCCCCCCAAATGCTACTGTTTGTCATAAAATATTCTGGGAATAATTTTTTACAAATAAACCAAACATTGTCATCTGCTCAATTTAAAAAATATTACCCCAGTTATCTAATATTAACCACATCCAAACAGCCCCTTAATGTTAAAATGTTATGATAACAGTTTTCTTTAACTTTTTATAACATATTTTATATCAATGATAACTTTTTTTTTGAAAATGTTATTAATATATATCTACAGTAACATTTTTAAAGTGTTACAATAGACCTAAAATATCTGTAGTAGTTTTTTTTATGATGTTTTCATATAATCAAAATACAATAACATTTTAAAAGTGTTACCATAAACCCAATTATTGATCGGGAAAAAAATTATGATGTTATCATATAATCAAAATACAATAACATTTTTAAAATGTTACCATAAACCCAATTATTAGCCGAGAAATAAAATATTATTCCCACCAACATGAAATGAGGTTGATTTTGTCTCATTTTTTATTGTTTAAAGGTCAAATTATCATATCATTTGGGGTTTACTTTGTCACTTTTCATTCATGTTGGGATGAAACATATTTTTTTTTACAAATAGTAATAACATGCAAATAGTGTTACCAATGTCTATCTTTTAGTAAAATGCTACCGTTTACCTACGGTAACACTTTTTGTATGTTACCGTAGGCCATTTTTATTATAGTATATATAAGCGACCAAAACCATCATTTTTTAACTGATATAAGATTGTGGCACCAATAGTTATAAGAACAAAAAACCTATCAATATGTAACAAATCCTAGCTTAACTAGTAAACTTTTAACAAAACACAAATTCTAACTCTAATGAAAATTTTAAAAAATAAAATAAAGCAAATTATAATTGAAATATATAACAAATAATTAATCCTATTCAACTCATTAAACTAATCTCTTAAAAATCAATAATGCTACATTTACCGACTATTGTCCCCACTGGTACATCCTGACTGACGTGGCAGATGACATGGTATATGCCATCTCATCTGCCACATCATCTTATCACCACGTCATAACACCTAAAAAAAAAAAAAAAAATCAATTGAAATTGATTTGCATTTTGCATGATTGGAAGACACCCAAATTCAAAATTGCCTCCCAAAATTCATTTTTCACAAATTTTCTCCTAAATCAAATTTCACTCATTCCCCTAAATCAAATCTCTCCCATAATTGAAATTGCTCTCCCACCACCACCACCCTACCACCAGCACCGCGGGCTATCGTCTTCCACCACCACTTGTAGTAGTCATTCGCGCGATGCCCAGGTATCAGCAACTAATTTTTAAAGACAATCGCATGGCACCACCCAATTTCGTCTAAGCAATTCCAAAATTACTCCAATCAAAATCCCAATCGCAATTATCGCGCAAAAACCCTAGGTGATGCCGCAGTGATCGAAGAACAATCTCGGTCGAGGGTATTGGGGGTTTTGTAGAGGGGAGGCCGGTGAAGCTTGGAGTGGCGGCAGGTTGGATTCTGAAGGTCGGGATATGCCGAAATCCGGCTTGAGAGGGGCGATCGCATGAAGAGCAGATGCCCATGTAATATTTTGTACTGTTATTAAATTTTAGTACATCTTGATATGTTTCAGTATGTTTAGGCACATAAAGTTACATTATGCAATGCTTTAGGTTGTAGGTTGGTAAAAGGATCAAGGGGTGATGTAACCATCACAATATTGAGGTCTGTATGTGATTTTATGTTTTGTAGATAAAAATGTGAAGTTTTTCCCTTTACTGAAGTATGTGCTGCTTCTTGCAGTAAAGTAGGAGAAAGGTGTTGTCCTGAGGGCCATTTGTGCTGGTTTTGAGGAACCTACTGAGCCAGCTTTTTGTTTGAGTGGTGGAAAGCTTTAATTTAGTCTGATACTAATTAGGGAAAATGTGTGCAGATTATTTCTATATTCTAACTTGAGATCTGAGTAATCAATTAGCATTCCTATATATATACCCAAGAATAATATTGGACAGAACAATATAAATGTTCTTATATATGTTCACCAAGAGTTATTGTACAAATTGCATTTTTTCTTCTCTAAACCATTTTAATTAAGGATGGTCCTATTAATTATTCCAACCTTTTTTTTTTTTTTGAATGTGATATTTGGTTATCTAAACTAATAACAATTAGACAACTCTTAATCATTAATTTCAGGGATTTTTATATGGAAAGATATCTGTTTAGACACATTAAAATAAGTACCAATAAATCCTACCAGGGTGTTTGATGAAAGCGCAAATGAAACAATGGTGATTTTGTTTTCATTGAATAGAATTGAATACAATAATAATAATAGTCCTGCACAGCTTGATTGGATGTATATATATTGTATAATAGAGATGAGAGAAAGAAGGTAAGAAGTTTCACTAACATTGCAGGACTTGGCTGTCTAATGGGCAGAGTTCCTGGCAAAGACAATTGCTACAACTCATCTCTAAGATCTCATCGTCATCATCATCGTCATCATCATCGTCATCGTCATCATCACCATCAAGATGCTCTGAATTAAGAGTTTGCTTCTACAGCAATACAATGTCTCTTCCTGCTTCCTTCTCACTTCCTACACATGCAAGTTTTTGTTTACATTTTGTCATTATTAATTCAAACACAGTCCAAGAAGTTGTGCTAAACAGTCAACAAAAGTCATGCCCCATCACAAACTATTATCATATTCACCATTAAACTACTGAAGCAGCACAGCAGCAACAACTGATAACACATATGCATGCAGTGTGGCTGTACGTATTTGATCACGTGTGCTTCTGAATGTGTCAATTTTAATGATTTAAAGTTTTAAACCAATACTTTAGTGTACTTCTGGTATTACATATAGACTACTACGTTGCTACAGTTATCTTACAGTACCAGTCAGACTCAGATCTTCTTGCAGATTGAGAAAACTTGAAAGGCCATAGTGGAAATTGAGAAAATTTGTTTTGGCACTGTGCAGATTGAGTAGGTGTGCAGATTGCAGTTTGTTTTTGCAGTTTCCAGGAGTCTTGGGCAGTATGTGCAGGGTGGTGTGTGCTAGAATTGAAGTAGTGATCTGGCAGTTTGTTTGTACAGTTTCCAGGAGTCTTGGGCAGTATGTGTAGGGTGGTGTGTGCTGGAATTGAAGAAGTGATCTGGCAGTTTGTTTCTGCAGTTTCTAGGAGTCTTGGGCAGTATGTGCATAGTGGTGTGTGCTGGAATTTAAGTAGTGATCTACATGGTGGTGTGTATAGAGCTACAACATGATTGCTGCATTTTCTGCAGTTTCTGGGTGAAGTCTTTAGTTTGGTTGTCTTGTGTTTGTGTTTGTGTTACTTTTATGTTGCTCATATTTCTTTTTGTGTAGTTCAGTCCCTTGGGCATGTCCAAGGTTCACGGTTCTAAAAGGCAGTCCCCTTTTTAGGTTGTAATTCGTTTATTTTCTAATAAAATTATCGAGTTTACCCAATAAAAAAACTGCATCTTTAATGTTTATAATTAACTAAAAGCAGATTACACATGATTTCTACCATATTGATTCACATAAAAGAAAATAAATAAAAATTCATGAAAGATATCATCATAGCTGGTTTTTTTCCCCAGTTTCATCCTAAACAGTAAGTTCGATCCTAAACATCTTTGAGTTCCATCCTAAACATCTTCGAGTTCCATCCTAACATCCTCAATATATCTTTAAAGCTGATTTTTTCAAATTCTATAGCTTCTTAAATTCTGCACAAACTGGAGAAAGACTGCATCTCAAATTTTGCAGCTTCTCAACTTCTGCAGCTGCAGTAGAAACTTGTCCAAGCTTCCCATCCAACAAACTAGAGAAAGACTGCAAGGTTGATGGTTCCAACAAGATTTTTTTTTTTTTTTNTTTTTTTTTTTTTTTTTGGTAATCTGGAAATTTTATAAAAGAATAAAAAATTATGACAACCTAACAAGGGGACTCCCCTTTAAAACTAAATCCTTTGGATAGGCCCAAAGGACTAAGCAAAAAACAAAATAAGAGCAAACAAAAGGATATACACCCTTTTACAATAAAAGCAAACAAAAAGATATACACCCTTGTACAAAAAGGACCAACCAAAAGCTATACATTTATCTCTAGTATAAGCATCACTAAGTGGCAATTTGTACAATCTGGCAAGTCAAAATCAGTCCGAGAGAGCTCCAAAATATCAGCTTCCTGCTGCTGATTGCTTCTACACAAGGTACATGTACAATTGGACTCTGTCCACCAGTCCTGCAAAATGTCTCCAAATCAATGAACTATGCATAAAAAAATGGCAACATAAAAAAAACTATTAAGCAATCTAATTACTCCAGTTTTAATTTTGAACACATAAGTCAAACAGTATCCAGACGGTATCCAAATCAATGGAGTTGATGCCCTTCAGCTGATGAAAATGAACATCCAACTTCCTGATCTTTATGTTCTTTTGATCCCTGTGCAATATACAACAAGAACTCAACAACATTAGTAGACTGGGAAATTTACACACACACACACACATATATATAGTACATGTGATTCTAAAATAACAATCTTCAGCTCCATACATTTCTACGATTCACATACATGTTGAAACATCAACTTAAACAAAGAAACATAAATAAATTACATACCTGAGATGCTTCATTAAATCCAAGTATGAGATTAGGATTAGAACTCATAGCAATTTCCAACTTTCGCAATTTCTTATTTTTGGCTTTACGAACAATTTGTTCAACCTTCGACTGTTTTCTTTTGAATGGCGGACGCCCTTTGCTACGAACAACCCGTGGAGTAAGAATATTACTGCTACCCTCTTTGGAAGTACCGCCAACAGCTTCACAATTTGTTGTACTATTAGATGACTTGTTTAGTCCTTTATCAATCTCACCAACACTTTGATGCGACATCAATTTGTTCTCCATATCATTGATCATTTGCATCACCATATTACAATCATCCTCATTACTTGATGCCAAATCTGCTACCTTAGTGAACGAATTACACAAATGATCAAATCGTTTTCCTTCAACATTAGTGCTCCAACTATTATAACTTATCTTAACCTTGGTATGCCATCTGATTATATTTTTCCTCCACTGCCTTAAAATGTATTTTTTTGGTACTTGGGAAATTTGCTTACGCGTCAACACTACAATTGCATGTCGACACAAAATTCCTCTAAACTCAAACAATCGACAGTTGCAACGAATATCGCAAGATGCTTCATCAAAGCAAACAACAAAAGGATCACGACGGCGAGTCTCTCCAACCACAACATCTTCTTCTACTATAAATTCCGTATAAGAATCAATCTCTTTGGAAGAACATAAATCACAATAGAGCTTACCAGCAACCTCTTGTTGAAACTCTTTAAATTTCCCAATGGTATATGCATCTTGAAATTGTTTCTCAATAGCATAAGTGCTTATGCAAGGGATCCATGATGTGAAAGATTTAAAATCAGCCTCCCTTTCTTTTTCCACTTTATCACGCAATGCATTTTCATATTGTTTCACAAACTGTTTTAAAGTGGTTTTTGAATTAACATATCCATCAAAGAATGCATGCATGCTTTCACTACGTTGAGTAGTAGACATACCTGCCCAGAAAGTATCTTTTACAAAAGCCGGCACCCAAAGTCGTCTTTCATTATACAATCCAAGTAACCAACCATTATCGTGAAGGTTGTATTTATCAATGAATCTATTCCAGCATTCATCAAACACCTCACGTGTCAATGAATCATACACGACATTCTGCAAAGAAAACTTAATATGTTCATATTGGCCATAACCTCTTAACTTTTCAAGCAAATTTCTTCATTATATGCCACAAACACCATCTATGTCGTATATTAGGGAACACAATCTCGATTGCATTTTGCATTGCCTTATCTTGATCAGTGATTATTGCCTTAGGGGCACAATTCAACATACATGCGAGCCAAGATTGAAAAAGTCATACAAATGTTTGTGTGTCCTCGTTGAAGACTAACCCACAACCTAACAATATTGAGTGGCCATGATGATCAACACCAACAAAACAAGCAAACGGCATATCATACTTATTGGTCAAATATGTCGTGTCGAATGTTACAACATCACCAAATTCTTTAAATGCGGCCCTACTTCTTGCATCCACCCATAAAACATTTTTTAATCGACCTTCTTCATCTAAATCCATGGTGTAGAAGAAATTTGAATTCTCATTTTGCATTTTCAAAAATATGTTTGGATTGCAGAAGCATCTCCAACACCAAGTCGGAGCCTCCTAACTTTTTCAATGTAGTTTCTACAATCTTTCTGTAGGAAAGGCAAATTCTCAGCACCGCCTGCTTCAACTAATAAGGAATGAAAGTTTTTATTTGGCCTAATCCCAGCCCTATCATTCACCTCCAGCTTCCTTTTCACATGCGGTTGTATTACGCGATTGCTCTTGAAAAATCTAGTTTTGGCAGGACTACTGAGTTCATGGTTATGATCAAAGACTACTGAACATATCTGCCATTTTCCGTCAGAACGTACCGATGCACCAATCCGAGCCTTACAATCAGTTTTTGTCACGAGATGCATTTTAAAGGCATTTCTAGAGTTATTGCTCGACTTCCCACTACGAGAACAAGTCACTGTCGCAAATCTTACCTCTCCATCATCTCCTTTCTTTGAAGTTCTTACAATTACTTCAAAGCCCATTTTATTCCCATAGTTTGAAGTGTTGGAAAAGCTTATCAAATGAATCAAAAGCCATTCCAGGCTTAGGCTTCCATTCCTCTTCTGCACTTCTTGTATCTACTGTTTCTTGTTTATTATCATCCTAATTTGTTGATATAATAATAGCCAAAATTAGAATATAATGATACTTAAAAAAGGTAGAAATAATACCATAGAATAATTAAAATCATATTACTGAATAAAAAGAAATTACAAAGAGATTACCTCAACAACGTTCAATTGAGAAAAAGAGCTCTCTGATTTCTTTTGACTACTCTCTTCCATCTTTGGTACTATGATGTAAATAGATTACCCTAAATAAAATACAAAAAATATTTTCATGTTATATAATATGATTCAATAATTTAAATGAAAAATAATATTTTTAATTAAACAATTGTTGCACCAGAAAAACTATATATGACCCAATAAGTGTAACACATTTTGCCTAATTAGTATCAGACTAAAATTAAAACTTACCACCACTCAAACAAACAGCTAGCTCACTTGGTTCCTCAAAAGCAGCACAAATGGCCCTCATAACAAAACCTTTCTCCAATTTTCCTGCAAGAAGCAGTACACCATCATTCGAAATCCTGCTTCTACAGCCGAACAAATTGGACAACACATACAAAATAACAAGTCATGAGCAAAATCACAAAACAACCATATATCAATGGCACAATTGGCAATCCTACTCTATTGTCAAAAGCTGTTTTTTCATAAGTAATAAATAATAGAGCCCAAGTTATAAAAAAAACCAAGTGATAACATCACATGCAATACAACATGTGCCCTCCTTAATATAACAAATAACACTAACAATCCAAATATCATATACAACAATTTCACTCATTGATTTTAATTGCATACCATTCAAGAGACATACATATAAAATAACCAAATAGAATCCATTGCTTCAGAACAATAACTTAATCACAATTCTACAGCAAAATTTCTTAATTTTTTTTGGATGAAAGATCAAATCTTTAAGGCCATGGCTACTAATCCAAGGTACTTGGTAAAGGGGAAGAGATGGGTGACACAAGTCTGATCCAAAAACTTGGAATTGATTTGAAGAGTGTGCATGGAGTACGACAATAGTTGTTTTCCTTACTTTCTTGCTTACACTTAATCCAATCAATAGTCAAAGAAAAGAGAAGGGCTTGCAGCAATTATCCCACATTCAACTTCATGAAAAGAAAGTGACATAAGTTACTGGACAAGGAACTGATTGCCCATAAACCCGTATCGAAATAGAAGGAGCTACTCTCAAATCCCATTTTTTCTGTTACAGTTAATCCTTGAAGGGGACATGCATAATACGCCAACAAGAGGACAAAAGTTGCTATCGAATAGGCTTTTATCTTAGGACGAAGGTGCGTAGCATTTAGGTCAAAAATCCCAAGGAAAGAATCAAAGAGGATTAGGAGACACAAAATTTCTTTTTAAAAATGTCTAGCGGATATCCCAGTTTGAGCCCAGGAGGATTTCTGAAAATGGAATTGATTTGAAGAGTGTGTTAAATCGTTCCCAGGTAGATCATTCAAGTAAAACTGAAACTCCGGAGTTTGCAAATTTCCAATTTTTCACATTTGCTTTTAACACTTTCTATAACATTTTCCATTACCGTATATGTGTTTGGACCTGCAAAACAACCCAAATCATTCCCAAACCCAAATCGTTCCCATCTCCTTTGCTCATGTGAAGTACATCCTTCGTAATAGGTGCTTCAGGAACTCAACCGCGAAATGGCGCAGAGAGGCAATAGCGAGTAAGGTCGGCGAAGTTGGAGTGCGGTGGTGGTGCGTTTGTGGAGTGAGATTGAAACATGGAGTGCGTTCAGTTGTGAGTTTTCTGTGCGGGAAAATTTGTGAAAAATGAATTTTGGGAGGCAATTTTGAATTTGGGCGTCTTCCAATCGTGCAAATCACTTTCAATTGATTTTTTTTTTTTTTAGGTGTTGTGATGTGGTGATAAGCTGACGTGGCAGATGAGATGGCATATACCATGTCATCTGCCACGTCAGTCAGGATGTATCAGTCGGGACAATAATCAGTAAATGTAGCATTATTGTTACCAAAAAAGATCATCATTTGAGATGAGTAAATGCACTTCCTATCTTTAACAAAATTTTGAAAACCAATTGTTACATTTTGATTTAATACAATTGAATAATTAGAATTTATACAATTAATACTTTTTATTTATTTTTTAAGTACATAATATATTGATTACTAGTTATGGTAGCTTAATCCTTTACATATACACCAAACTATCCTTAACATTTTCAATAATATTACATCCACAACCTTTTTATACAAACTTTCTTTCATAATCTCATGTGGCAAAAGATGATCAGGTGATTTTAAATTTAAAATAAATTTTCACCCAATCATCTTTTATCACATCAGTTTGTGAGAGAAAGTTTATATAAAAAGGTTATAAGTATAATATTACTCTTGCACTTACAAACTTTTTATACAAACTTTTTCATACAAACTAGTATGACAAAAGATGATTAGTTGATTTATAAATTTTCACTCGATCATCTTTTGCCACATCAATTTGTAGGAGAAAGTTTGTATAAAAAGTTGAATAAAGATAGGTTGGCAAACACTTCTCACAAACGCTGACGTGGTAAATCACATTTGGATAGGTGAGACCTATTGTTGGACAGACATAACCCATTGCAAGCTGACCAATTACTAGCTGATACATCGCGTTTGTAAAAATAGTTATTGAGTGTAATATTATTGAAAAAAGTTTGTAAATGTAGTATTACTGTACTTTTTTTTTTTTAATTATTAATAAAGTTCAACCTATCAAATAAAATAAGGGAGAATAACAACTTTTCACCCAAGGTTTGGCGTAAGTAATTTTTTCCACCAAAAGGTTTGAAAAAAACAATTTCCCACTCATCATTAAAATTCGTCAGTTAACTTAACTGAAAAAGGACAAGATGGTCAATTTTCATGAAGCCGAAAAATCAACATTTAAAATTTGAAATCTTGGTGCATTTGCCTGAATGGTTGTTGTGTGTCCCACTAAAGTTGACTTAGAGAAAAAAAAAAAAATAAAGGAACAAAAAGTCATTTCCCTTTTCTCCATTGTTCTATGTAACGGAAGGTTAAGCAGTTAAGCGAGAAGCAATGACTAACGATGGCTTACAACGATGACTGGCAACTGCTGGCGACGATTGGCAACTGCTTACAACGACGACTGAGCAAAAAAAATACCTGGGAAATGACAACAGTAGATGACGACTGAAAGAATACTGACAAGAATTGGGTTGCAATCGAGTCGAGGTATTGAAAAGCTCGAGCTCGACTCAGTTGGAATAGTTAAAGCTTGAGCTCAACTGAGCTTTAATTGTCAGAATACGATCAGCTCAGCTCGTCTTGATTACAACCAAGTCAAAATCGAGCTCGAGCTTGAATCACTTGGCTCAATGTCGAATCACCTGTAATGCATGAGATTGGTTTACTTTTAATGACTATGAACTAAAGTAATTATGCTCATGGTAAAAAAAAAACCACACAAACAAACAAAACAAAGCCAAAGAGAAATCAAAATTGTAAAGCCAAATATTGGGCATATTATTCAATCAAACTTTAACCAAATACTGGGCATATTTGGCTTATTGTTAACAACAACCAACTACATATTGAGAGAAGACCAGAAAATTGCAGAGATCACATCAAACTAAACCATAGGCTCGAAAATACAAAGAAAATCAAGCTTATGAGAATGACGAGAAGTCCTTGGCTCTCGACTTGCCTAACTAATTCATCAATAAGTACCATAAAGCCTTTGTTGCGTGAGAACAATGAAGAGTTGGGAGTAAATGACATGTTCCCACCCGAGGATTAGCGAAATTCAAGGATAGTATCCTTGGTTTCATTTATTCCAGACTCCCACCCTTAAAATAACACTCTTTTGTTTATTTAACAGTTAAAAAGCTAAAACAGATTTTACAATAATTTGTAATAAAAAAGTCAAATAATCCCACATCTCAAACCCCTCAATCGTGTGTGAACAACTCTCACTCTCGATCTTGCCATTTTTTACCAGAATTGGACTTCACCGGCACCACCATCGCTTTAGCACCCTCAGATTACCAAGACCCCTCTGTTTTCTAACTCATTAACCTCTTGGATCGCCGGCGCCATTAGGGTTAGGATTCGGTTGTTCTTCATCAGATTTTGGCCATTTCTGGCAACCAAAATGGAATTGTTCACAACCACTACAATCAGCGACTACACCTCTTCAAAACCCCCATATCCCTTTCAACCGTTCAGTCGTCATTCACTAGCAACATTATGGTTAGGATTTAGTCATTCTTCATCAGATTCTGGTCGTTTTCAACGAACAAAATCAAATTGGTCACCACCACTGCAACTAGCTCCAACTCTTCAAAACCCCCATATCCCTTTCAACCGTTCAGTCCTTGTTCGCTGGTGGTGAGGTTTGTCTTATGCTTCATGATTTTCGGTGAATTAGGTATTTTTTATGATTGATTCAAAGAATTGATTGGTTTTTTATAGTTATGGTGGAGTGTTTGTTCGATTTGGTCTGGTTTTCGACATTTCTTATGTTGGGTTGATTTGTTTCATGGTGGGTGAGGGCTTGTGGGTAGGGGTGATCGGTTCCGGGTACCTTGCATTTTTTGAAGGAACCAAAATCAACGAGTCCTAAAATTTGGAACCAAAATCGAAAATTGACTATTTCGGTTCCTAGGTATTCAGAACCAAAACCTGTAGGAATGATTCCGGGTACCCTAAAAAATTACATTTACCCCCCAAAAGTTTATAAAATGAGCAAAAATCCCTTAAAAACTCAACAAATACCCCCAAAAAAGCACTTGTTAACAAAGAATAAAATTACAAATACATTATAAAAACTTTAGGCATTCCAACCATTGTTTTAAAAACCGGACTGTTCCTTGACCCGGTCAAAAGGTCTATTTTCGGGTTGATTGG